CTAAATTACAAGCATCATAATCAGTTACATGGACTCACCTTATTTCGTGCCAATAGAAATGCAGCTCTGTTCAGTAAGAATCCCGGTGGTGGCTTCTGTGTCTACATCAACATGAAATGGCGCAAGAACTCTGTACTAGTTTCCAATTACTGCTCATCGCTGGTAGAGTTTATCACTGTTAGATGCAGGCCTTTTTATTTACCTTGGGAATTCACTACTGTGCTCATTACAGCAGTATACATCCCACCCAGCACTAACACTAAAGAGGCGCTCTGCGAGCTGTATAGGGTGATCAGCAAGCTGCAGAACTCCAGCCCCAATGGACCGTTTATTATCGCTGGAGATTTCAACCATGCAAATCTCAAGTCAGTGCTTCCGAAATTTCATCATTATGTAGACTTTGTGACGAGAAAGGCAAACGCACTGGATCATGTTTACACAAATATTCCCAGTGCGTACCAAGCAAAGTGCTGCCCCCACATTGGTTACTCAGACCACTTGTCTGTCATGCTATTTCTGGCTTACAGATTGCCCATCAAACGCTGCAAACCAGTTCTGAGACAAGTGAGAACCTGGCCTGCAGGAGCTCTCTCTGCTCTTCAGGACTGTTTTGAACACACTGACTGTGACATGTTTAGGGAGGCTGCAACACCACATCAACACATCTGTGACCAGCTACATCAGTAAGTGCATTGATGATGTCACTGTCTCCAAGACTATCCTAATATTCTCCAACCAGAAACTGTGGATGACTTCAGAGGTGCGTGAACTGCTAAATTCTTGAGACTCCGCCTTCAGAGCAGACGGCAAGGGGGTCCTAGAAACAGTGAGGGCCACACTGAGCACTGGAGCCCCTCAGGGATGTGTGCTCAGCCCACTCCTGTTCACTCTGCAGACTCACGACTGTGCAGCAAAGCACAGCTCGAACCACATCATCAAGTTCGACAAGACTGTTTTGGGTCTCATCAACAAGAATGAGTCAGCATACAGTCAGCATACAGAGAGGAGGTACAATAGCTAAAGGACTGATGCAGAGTCAACAACCTGTGTAGAGCACGGAGAGATCACTGACCACTTAACATTAATGGATCCTCTGTGGAGGTCGCAAGAGCACCAAATTCCTTGGTGTTCCCTGACGGAGAACCTCTCCTGGTCCCTAAACACCAGCTCCATAACTAAGAAGGGCCAACAGCGTTTCTACTTCCTGTGGAAGCTGAGAAAAGACTATCGAGAGTTTCCTAAGCAGCTTCATCACTGTGTGGTATGGTAACTCCACCGTATTGGATCACAAGACGGATGGTGAAAGTGAGAACAGCTGAGAAGATCATTGGAACCACTCTTCCCTCCATCACAGACACCTATTGCATCCACTGCATCTGCAAAGCCACCAGCGATGTGGAGGACCCCACACATCCCTCACACACTTTTTTACCTTGCTGCCTTCTCGCAAGTGGTACCGGAGCATTCGGGCCCTCACTGCCAGACTGCGAAACAGTTTCTTCCCCCAAGCCGCCAGACTACTAAAGAATCAGTGACTGGTCTGACACACACACACACACACACACACACACACACACACGCAAACACACACACACACCTCACTACCTCAAGCACTTATCTGGACATTTTCATGCACACACGCACGCACGCAAACCTTCAAACATCACGTTATGTGTTGCACAATGCTCAGTCTTTTGCACAACACACTGTAATTGTTGCACTTCTCTAATTCACTGTTGTGTCTGCAGTGTCTTATGTCTGCACTGTCTTGTGTCTGTATCATTCTGTTCTGTCTGGTGTTGCCGTGTATTTGTTTGTGTTTTTTTTTTTATTAAATTAAATTAATTTTTTTTTTTACAATTTTTGCACACGTGCACTTTATGTAACCCTGTGTTGATTGTCTGTTATATGTAATATGTAGCACTATGGTCTTTAAGGAATGTTGTCTCGCTTCACTGTGTACTGTACCACTGCACATGGTTGAAATGACAGTAAAGCCACATGACTTGACTTGTCTAAAGCAAGGCACAATGGATGAAACTAGCAGAAAATACAGAAAAAGAAAATACATAAATACATGAAAGAAACATACACACCAAATACAGACTAAACAAACCAAGAAACAACATAAGATATTTAAATTAACAAAACCTGAGAGTACATTAACTTAAAGACCCAGGAGCATGACATGTGTAGTTGAAAAAAAATGCCCTAAAACAAAAAAATCCTCAGTTCCAACCTTAAGTGGGTTATAGCAATCTGGCTAGTATTTAGAAAATAAGTAACACAGAAACATATTAGACTTTGCTGGTATTTTAACAACACAGCTAAATATATACACAGCAGTGGTGGAGGCACAAGATCTGGCCTTATCTATGCTATTAGCTAGATAATCCAAAGTTTCACCTGCATGAACAGAATTTAATTACGTAGTTGGAGTATATATGCCACAGTATGTGATGAATGTTTTTGCAGCATGGTCCTGATCCCAAGCGGCCATGACGTCTGAAGCCTGTAAGCTGATTAGAGCTGAGGAACTTAAAACTGTGTGCGCATGCATGCATGCGTGTATTATTTGGTGTGACTGTAAGTGTGTGTGGTATGCAGATCACCTGCTCCTATCAGGATTCATATTAATGTAGAGCAAACGCAAGGTCTGAGATAGATAGGTTAAGGCACTGATGCAGTAATCGGAGACAAAAAGAAGAAGTTACGTTGGGGGCAATGTCCTTGTTTTTCTTGCATCTGAGTGTGTTTGTATTTGTGTTCAGGAACAGAGTACTAGAAGGCTCTCTGGTGTGTATCAGCCCTCTTAAAGCCTCTGGCTCTTTGCTGATTTGGGGATTTTAGTGGAATTCTATCACAGCTTACAGAAACCTTTTTGTAGCTGCTTGACTGGTGCAGGTCTGCTCACCAAAACATTTGCAGCTAACTGAAATACCAAAAGACAAGCTGAAAAGACATATGAAAAAAGTGTGAATATATGTCACTTGTCTCCACTCAAACAGTGTTGAGCCAAGGACAGTCAACTTAAACAAGAATAAGTTGGAGGGCTATATTTTTTTTCTGAGCGCAAAGTTTAAGGATATCTTACCCGTTACTTTTGGGATTTTGGCGTCTCTGGTCTAAGGATTTAGTGAGCATGGAAAACTCTGGGCTCTTTTCCCCATCAATTACAACCTCCCAGTGGACATTGCCAGGCTCCCAAATAGGTAAAGTTGAATAAATGAATAAAAAAGTAATACTAAAAAAAATACCGTATTAACCTGAAATAAATAAGCACAAGCTGCAAGCTAACTACTTTTACCTTTAGTATAATAGCATTCCCTTACATTTTATATTGCTTAGATAGTGTGCACTTTCTTAGCTTTGGAGATAATACAAAGATTTTGATTATTCTGAAAGGGCATTAATGGCTGATAACATCATTGAATCAATAAAGTAGCCCATCACAACCACAAGTATGCCCCATTATTTTAAATTGAGCACAAATCACGGCAACTGAAGGAACAAGATTCTATTTTAAGATTTTAACAAATTCAGAATTCTGAGTAGATTTATTACAACCTCATTATGTAGAACTAAAAGAAAACATTTACACCTATTCAACTATGTTCATGAAGACTATGATAAAAGAGCTAATGTTTATCTAAAGTTTTAGTTATTTGTTTTGTGATTTATGAATCAAAATTTTCTTTATCTATGATTTTTGTCTGTTAAGTCAGCTTCTGGCTTGAGGGCATTTGTCCTTTTGTCCAGTGGTCCAAATTGATCTTTAACATTGCAATCATAATTCACCATGACCAACCTCTGTGGAGTTATACTGGCTGTTAGAGATGAACATAATCAAATCTCTAATGTGGCCCGACCAATAGTGATAGAACTCAGTAATGGAAACTTCTGTTGGTTGCACCGTGGAACATTTTATTGTATTTTCATTATACACCACACTGTAACACAGATTACATAATTTTAATAAAAAGATAACTGAAATGATCAACATCACTGTCGCAAAAGATCTGTGAAACTTGTGCTTATAATAGGAACTTCTCAGATTTATCACTTTGTATGAGTTATTGATTTTTGACTATTTTTTTACTTCTTTGTAAGGAGGAATAAACGAAGACCAGTGCCCCCACCCCCACCACGCACCGCCCACACACCCCCACACCCCCACACCCACACACACGCACACAAACGGTGGGATGCAAATGAGTAGTGCCTCTAGGCTAAGGATGTTAATAGAGATTGATCTGTTCAGGGTAAAATTAGAAAATAGTGCCCATTACTCTCAAATAGTCATTAGAGAACTGACTCATGTGTTTTGCTTTTTGAGATAACTGATGGGGATTGTTTATATAACATATAATTATTTACAGTTAAAAGAAAATAAAAAAGGAAGTGCTATAAGAATCTAAAGTCCTCATCAGAATCTAGCAAACCTACAGCCAATTCAGATTGAATACCAGCCCTAGTATGTTTATATTATATA